CACTCCCCACAAAAAAAAAAAAAAACCAGAATGTTACATAAAAAGTAATATTTGGGGGTGTCAAGGTTTCTCCCCCACTCTGAACTCTAGGGTACAGATGTGGGGACCTGCATGAAAAACCTCCTAAGCTTATCTTTACCAGCTTAGGTCAAAACTTCCCCAAGGTACAAAACATTCCACCCTTTGTCTTTGGATTGGCCACTACCACCACCAAACTAATACTGGTTACTGGGGAAGAGCTGTTTGGATGCGTCTTTCCCCCCAGAATACTTCCCAAAACCTTGCACCCCACTTCCTGGACAAGGTTTGGTAAAAAGCCTCACCAATTTGCCTAGGTGACTACAGACCCAGACCCTTGGATCTTAAGAACAATGAACAATCCTCCCAACACTTGCACCCCCCCTTTCCTGGGAAATGTTGGATAAAAAGCCTCACCAATTTGCATAGGTGACCACAGACCCAAACCCTTGGATCTGAGAACAATGAAAAAGCATTCAGTTTTCTTACAAGAAGACTTTTAATAAAAATAGAAGTAAATAGAAATAAAGAAATCCCCCCTGTAAAATCAGGATGGTAGATACCTTACAGGGTAATTAGATTCAAAACATAGAGAACCCCTCTAGGCAAAACCTTAAGTTACAAAAAAGATACACAGACAGAAATAGTTATTCTATTCAGCACAGTTATTTTCTCAGCCATTTAAAGAAATCATAATCTAACACGTACCTAGCTAGATTACTTACTAAAAGTTCTAAGACTCCATTCCTGGTCTATCCCTGACAAAGACAGAATATAGACAGACACACAGACCCTTTGTTTCTCTCCCTCCTCCCAGCTTTTGAAAGTATCTTGTCTCCTCATTGGTCATTTTGGTCAGGTGCCAGCGAGGTTACCTTTAGCTTCTTAACCCTTTACAGGTGAGAGGAGCTTTCCCCTGGCCAGGAGGGATTTCAAAGGGGTTTACCCTTCCCTTTATATTTATGACAGGGGGAAAAATCAATCTGAATATATCTCAGCAAAACTAAGTTCGAAAGTATTCAGACTTTGTTGTCTAAAGTTAGATACCTGGTCCCAATCTAGCTATTTTAACATCAATGGAATCCTTTCTATTTATTTACTTCTATTTATGGCAAGCCACATAGCAAACCTGTTCCCAGTCCATACCAGAATAAACTTTCTATTTTAATGTCCTCTCTTCTCCAGTATTCGAAAAAGACAATATAGATAAAGATATAACAAGACTGAAGCCAAACATTCTGTTGTCTTTGTGGTGTCAAAGGTTCTTGACACTGAAGTTTTCAGCTTTTAGAAAGTGATACAATAAACTAAAAATATTGCAAGACATCTTGAAAAGCAATGGCATAATACATAGATTAATAGAGTTTAAGACCAGAAGGGATCATTAGATCATGAAGTCTGACCTCCTCTATTTCACAGGACATTACATTTTGCCCAGTTATTTATGTACTGAGACCAATAACTTGTGTCTGACTGAAGTATAACTTGTGTTTGGCTAATGCGTGTCTTCCAGAAAGGCATCCAGTCTTGACATGAAGACATAAAGCGCTAGAGAATCTACTACTTCCCCTGGTTGTTTGTACAAATGGTTAATAACCTTCACTGTTAAAAATGTGTGCCTAATTTCTAATTTGTCTGGCTTCAGCTTCCAAGAACTGGTTCTTGTTATGCCTTTCTCCCTGAGATGAGAGAGTCTGTTAGTAACCAATATTTTCTCCGTAGGAAGGTACTTACCTATCAATCATTGCTCAATCTTTCTTTCATAAACTAAACAGATTAAGCACTCTCTTTAAATCTGTCACCATAAGACATTTTTTCCAATGCTCAAATAATTTTAAATAGCTTTTTTTACATCCTCTCCAATTTTTCAACATCCTTTAAAAATGTGCACACCAGGACTAAGTGCAGCATTTCAGTATCAATCCAGAGTACAGAGATAAAATCATCTTCCTACTCTTTCCCACTACCCTGTTTATAGATCCAAGGATCACATTTGCTCCTTTTTTGGCATAGCATCAGGGCCTATGTTCAATTACTTGTCCACCATTACCCCTGTTTTTCCAGAGTTGCTGTTTTCTAGTACACAGTGCTCCATCCTGCATTTCAAGTTCCTAGATGTATTCACTGATCAAAAGCAAAACTCAAACCTTTGAAAACCAGGAAATATAGAATTAAGGTGCACACCAACGCAACCTTAACTCTGTCCCTCTGGAGATATTAACAACCACAGAGAATTATCTGCATGCAGTCCAGTTGCATTCATTGTGTTAGATGTACTATTGAATGGGTCGGGCACTAGCTGAAACTGTTCGGCAGAACTGTGACTGTGATATAAGGTGATATGAGGGGTCCCAGCTCCTAGGGAAGGAGATAGACTCTCTCTGCCCTCACCACATATGTGGCCAAAGTAAAGAGGTGGATGTGCACCTTGAGATACCCAATATACCTCATATTACATTGTAGGTAATATCCTAGTGATGTCCATGGTCATCTTCTCATGGGGATTGTCAGCAGTGAGGTGGGACATGAGTGGCCTGTGGGTTTAATGATGAGTAAGTAAAAATACAATGTTACATGACAAACTCTGCTTTAGGATGAAGGTGTGGTAAAATTTAGGGTGTGAGGTTGTTTCCGTAGAAAAAAAATGTGATTATGAATTAAAGACGCTCATGATGCAGATACACAAAGAAAACAATTTAAGGTTCCACAGGCAACCTTAATTCTGGCATTTCCTAAACTTGTGAGTACTTGACTTAGAAACTGCAATGTTCTTTTAATGCAGCTTTTTGTGTGTACGTAATATAGACCACTAACATTTCAGGCATAGTGCCGTATAACCTAATGTGGTGCAGTCACTTTGTACTGCACCAGCACCGTATATTGACCCTCAAACCAACATAATTAGCCCAGGGGATCTCTCACGTGCAAGAGTGATTCACTAGTAGCATACAGCCCGCACAGGTACTCTTGTGGTCCTCCTTTTCTCCGATGCTGGCATAAAAGAAAAGAGGGCAAAGCCAAAGGAAAAGGACGTGGGCAAGATCTCCCTTCTCCATTCTGATCCCCCTGTGTTTTTGGCCCATTTGGTTTTCAGCAGAAGTAATTAACATGATACTCAATAAGGGGAAATAAAAAGGTGAGGAGAATATTTGTGGAAGAAACTTCCAGCACCACTTAAAAATATTTTAAAGTACCAGTACTATTTAGAAGATACATAACTGATGGACTAAAATAGTGCAAAATTAACAGTTTTGAACCTAAAGAAGTTCAGAAGCTTGGTTTCAGTTCAAATAAGCCAAAATAATTTCAGATGTTCAACTAAAACACATTTTAGGTCTTTTGACAGCTCAGGGTTTCAAACTTCTGTTTTTCTTTTGAAAATAAGATCCTTCCAACTACTGCTGCAACAATTGCCTTAAAATGATTGACTCCCTTTCTTCCCCACTGAATACGACTACACTCAACTTTCAGACTTATGTCCCCTCAGCCCTGCACAGTATCTAGTCACTATTTTTCCTCCACCTAATATATTAAATTTCTCTTGCATCTTTTTGTATCAACAGTTGTGATGCCGAAATCTATGGCATTCAATGTATTCTGGATCAGCTCTGACTTCAAGGAACACATTGAGTATATACAATAAGAAAATAGTTAGCATAGGTGTGAATGCAAAACCTGATGAAATGTTGCAATAGTTTTTTTAACAGCATATGGGCAAAAGCAGACGGACTTGTTGAAGAGAGGAAGGAATAATTTGTTTTATTTATATATTCTCTGTTACCTAATTCTTAGAAAAAATATAATAACAACTGGAGTGGTAGGAAAGAGTTTCAAATAAAGGGTAGTCAGGGATCAAGATGAAATTGTAACAAAATGCCCTCAACAGAGGACGCCACACTTCAAGTTCTTCAATTATTCTTGGGTCCTGTATAGATTTTAGCAATTACAAGCAACTTTCTTAGGACCATCTTTTCTATATTGCACATAGCAAGAATACAAGTTAGAAAATTTAGAACTGAAAAAAATGGAACTCTGTCAGGCGTATCATATTATCCCATATTGTTCAGGCAAACATTAGCTTTCTAAATGTTGTTCATTCTATTAAAAAAAAATCCTAATAGTTTCTCACAAGCAGGTTAAGACAGCTATAAGATGAATTTTAAATATTTATTCCTATAATTTAAATATACTTTTCTAGATAATAATAATGCATATATTTTCATAATGGCAGATTGTGAACCCATTATGTGTATTGGTGAGCACTTACTTCCACTAATATCAGTGGTTCTATTTACAGGAGCAAGTGCCCACCACTGTGAATAAGAAGTTCAAGGTCTGGTGGTAATTTCTTCCAGAACTACAAACAATTATACTGATGATTCGCTTTTACTGAATTAATGCAAACTGAATTACATTCATTGTAATTCTGTCCTCAGTGTAAGTAGGTGTAATACTTCACCGAGGCAGATAAACAGGGCAGATAGTTCAATGATTATTATGTATCTAGTGATCCTGATAATGTATTTATTTAAAATGGATCATTGTCAAAACTTAAAACAACCGATATTTAATTTAACCAATGACAAGGCCTGTCCACAAGCTGACTTTTATGAAAGTACATGTAGGTTTTTGTACTAGCAGACAACACTTCAATTGTTTTTAGAAAACCAAAATGGAAAGTATTAGACATACATTGTGAGCTAAATTTCATATTGACAAAGCAAAAGAAAATTCAAACCAGAAAGTGATACTCAAATTAAGGAATTTTCATTTAATTCTTCCCTTCCACCAAACAAAAAAGTGACATTTGAACATTGTGACCTCCACCAAGTTTTTTCTTGTTATCCATTCCACAACTCAATTCAGATGTTTCTTGGGACATCAAAAAAGAAGAAAAAACAGTACATACCCCCAAAATTGGATTATACAGACGTAAACATATATGTGATCAGACAAATAATACATATTTATGTTTAGGTTACCTTGTGGTTGTCGACTGGGATGGTATATTTGAAGGTCAAAAGGCTGTGCACTGGTTTTCTGTATCACACTAACATTTTGCCCAGTCCATTTATTGGCTTTTGACAATGTATTGGTCCTCCAGTCAGTCCAATACACTTCACTTCCATACAAAGAGACAGCAAAGGGGTGAGAAAGATATTCATGACCTCGTATGATCTCTATCATGTCAGTTCCATCATATAATGCAGAATAAATTGCATCAGACCTACAAGATAAACCCAAATAAAAAAATAATTTATAAAAATTAGGACATCTGTAGGGATAACTTGATAGTACTGTAGGCCTGTAAATGCTTCAGTGAATATTCTCAGAATTTATTCATGGCCTTGTCACTACAGACAGCAAAGCCAGAAGTTTACTGACAAAGCACATAAGAACAATCATCACCTTAGAGTGCCTCTAGCACAATTTATCTAGAATTTCTTGATTAAAATATATATGGGTCACTCTTGTGCTTGTATTCTCTCAAATTTAAAAGTTAGACTTTTATCCATTCAGTTGAAATAAAAACAAAATAATTTCCATTCACCTGAATTAAAAGGAAAAATCTTTACCAACAACTGGGCCTTTGACATGTACATAGCTCTCAAGTGCTAATGACACTATTTGCATGAGAAAGGTAAGTAGGATTTGGGTCATTACACACATTTGAAAAAGTTCAATATTTGTTTATAGAAACATAAAATGTATATTAAGGATCTCAACTCTGATTGACTTCGATGAATCGAAACATAAAACAGAAAATACATAATGTGTTTAATTAAATGGGGAGAAAGTAGCATATTTGCTTCCAATCCAGATTAGCCATTACATAAAACATCAAATAGTAGTAAACTGATAATAAATATTTTATTTTTGTTTTTACCTAGCATCTGTCCATACTATTCTTTTCTCAAAGTGATCAACAGTAAGACCATTCGGCCAGGCTCCGGTATCCATGTCTTTATAGATGATTTTTCTTCCCGCCCCACTCATGGAAGCAGACTCAATGCGAGGAAAATTAGCATCCCAGTCTGTCCAAAACAGAATTCTGTAGGGTTATGGGGGAGGAGAGGGAAAGTTATAATTTCAGTGTCCAAATGAAACACAATGAAGTATGCACCAAAAAAATTTACAGACTACTTAAAGAAAGGGCAAGAAAGTCTCCAATATTTAAATATTTCAGAAGAAACTAAGGCACATAAGAAGTCTTGGGAATTATAACTCATGCAGAGGTAGGCTGGAATGGCAATAGTCCTTCTTTATCAAAAAGTTTTGCTATTTTCAAAACAGCTATGAAATCAAAAGCACAAGCAATTCAATTCCACATTTCATAGGATCATAGAAGTGTAGAGCTGGAAGGACCTTGCGAAGTCATCAAGTCCACCCCCTGCACCAAGGCAGTACCAAATAAACCCAGACCATCTCTGACACGTGTTTGTCCAACTTGTTTTTAAAAGCTTCCAATGATAGGGATTCCACAACCTCCCCTGGAAGTCTATTCCAGAGCTTAAATATCCTTATAACTGATATTTTTTTTCCTAATATCTAAACTAAATCTCCCTTGAGGAATACTAAGCCGATTACGTTTTGTCCTACCTTCAGTGGACATGGAGAATCACCATCCTCTTTATAAGAGCCCTTAACACATTAGAAGACTATCAGGTCACCCCTCAGTCTTCTTTTCTCAAGACTAAATACACCCAGTTTCTTCATCCTTTCTGCCTAGGTCAAGTTTTTGTTGCCCTGGACCCCCTCCTGCACCCCAACATTCTGCCCGAGCCTGGAGCCTCCTCCTGCACACCAGCTCCCTCCCAGAGCTTGCACACCCTCACCTCCTCCTGTACCCCAACCCCCTGGCCCAGGCTCAGCCTGGAGCCCCCTCCCACCCCCTTCCAAACCCTCCGTTCTCTGAGTTTGTTAAAGTCTGCTTTCTTGAAGTCCTCTACCCTTATTCCACTGCTCTCACTACTTCCTTTCCTTAGACTCATGAAATCAATCATTTCATGATCACTGTCACCCAAATTGCCTTTCACCTTCAGATTTACTACCAAATCCTTCATGTGGGTCAGAATCAAGTCTAAAATGACTGTGTCCCTGGATACTTCTTCCAGTTTCTGGAACAAAAATTTATCTCTGATACAGACCAAGAACTTATTGAAGATTTTGTGTTTTGCAGTATTACTTTTCCAACAGATATCTGGGTAGTTAAAGTCCCCCATTACCACCAGGGCCTGTTTGGATATTTCTGTTATGTGTTTTAGAAGTGCCTCATCCACGTCCTCTTCCTGATGCGTTGGTGTACAGTAGACCCTCATTCTGACACCACCCCTGTTTGTTAACCCTTTTATCTTTACCCAGAGACTCTCAGCTGGTCTGCCTCCCACCTCCTACTGGATCTCAGAACATGCAACCCCTGCTACCTTTTTTCCCTCCCTGTCCTTTCTGAACAAGTTATATCCCTCTATGTCAATATTCCAGTCATGAAACTTTTCTCACTAACTCCCTGTGATGCTGTGATAAATAAAGGGGGCATAGATCCCTCTGATGGACACCCAGCCAGCCAGTTAGCTGTAAAATACCTCTTAGTAGCTGTTTTTTACTTGCTTTACCTGTAAAGGTTAAAATGTCCCCCAGGTAAAGAAAAAAAAGTGGGCACCTGACCAAAAGAGCCAGTGGGAAAGCTAGATTTTTTTTAAAATGGGGAAAGAAACCTTCCCTTTGTTTGTTGGTCTCTCTGGGCTGCAGAGACATGGAGCAACAATGCTATGTAAGGCCTGAAAATTCATCTTCCATACCTAGAAGAAATTATTTGGATAGGGAATGTTTAGTTAGACAGAATCAGGTTTATTTTTTTTTTATTTTGGCTTGCGAATCTCCTCTGTGCTAACCGCAGATGCTTTTGTTTCATGTAATCTTTAAGCTAAACCCCCAAGAAAGCTATTTTGTGTGCTTAATTTTTGGAATTGCTCTTTTAAAATCTAGCAAAAGCCTAAGTTCCAAATGTATTTTCTTTCTTTTTGTTGTTAATACAATTTACCTTTTTAAAGAACAGGATTGGTTTTTTCGTGTCCTAAGAGGTTTGTGCATATGCTGTTTGATTAGCTGGGGGCAACAGCTAATTTCCTTTGTTTTCTTTCTCAGCTCTTCCCAGGAGGGGTGTGTGAAAGGGCTTGAGGGTACCCCACAGGGAGTAATTCCCAAGTGCTCCTTCCTGGGTCCAAGGTGGGGTTGTTGTTTTTTTTTGCATTTGGGTGGTGGCAGCGTTTACCAAGCCAAGGTCACAGAAAAGCTGTAACCTTGGGAGTGTAATACAAGCCTGAGGTGGCAAGTATTAATTTTGAGAATCCTTGCAAGCCCCCACTTTCTGCACTTGGAGTGACAGAGTGGGGATTTAGCCTTGACAGATGCCAATTAAATCATAATTCAGCTTATGTACTAATACAGTTAGTTCTTCCTGTTTATTCCCCCAACTCCCTGCATTTGTGTACAGACATTTAAGATGTGGAACAGATTCCTCCACTGATTTCCTTCTTGTTGCTCCATTGACCCAAAAGTAATTTCCCCCCCAAAATCTTACCTTCTGTTAAGGTCACCTCGCTTTATGCTAACATTTGGGCTTTTGCCACCTGGCATTAACAGTTCCCTTTCTCTACAGTGTATTAGTGTTAGTAACAAGTCATGTTGTCCCCTTATAATTAAAAACTCAGCAAAAACTGTGGCTTCATCAGAGATCTAATCAGTTTTGAGGAGAAAGAGTGGCCTTTGAAAGAATTAAAATCTGGGGGGATAGAGGGGACAGGGGAGAAACACAGTATTGAGAGATAGATATAAAATCATGTACTGAACAGAGACACCGGAGTTATGGCCCATTACACAATCTGTAACCCACTATGCCTCTTTTTTTGTCCAAACATGATACAGTTCTGTGGTAACCTGGAATCCTATTTTCGACGTCTCCGACTCAAGGAATATTTCCAATACACCTCTGAACAACATACTAACTCACAGAGACCTTCCTACCAAGACTACAAAAAGAAGGATTCTGGGTGGACTCCTCCTGAAGGTTGAAACAACAGACTGGACTTCTACATAGAGTGCTTCCACCGACGTGCACGGGCTGAAATTGTGGAAAAGCAGCATCACTTGCCCCATAACCTCAGCCGTGCAGAACACAATGCCATCCACAGCCTTAGAAACAACTCTGATATCATAATCAAAAAGGCTGACAAAGGAGGTGCTGTCGTCATCATGAATAGGTCGGAATATGAACAAGAGGCTGCTAGGCAGCTCTCCAACACCACTTTCTACAAGCCATTACCCTCTGATCCCACTGGGGATTACAAAAAGAAACTACACCATTTGCTCAAGAAACTCCCTGAAAAAGCACAAGAACAAATCCACACAGACACACCCCTGGAACCGCGACCTGGGGTATTCTATCTGCTACCCAAGATCCATAAACCTGGAAATCCTGGACACCCCATCATCTCAGGCATTGGCACCCTGACAGCAGGATTGTCTGGCTAGGTAGACTCCCTCCTCAAACACTGTGCTACCAGCACTCCCAGCTATCTTCGAGACACCACTGACTTCCTGAGGAAACTACAATCCATCGGTGATCTTCCTCAAAACACCATCCAAGCCACTATGGATGTAGAAGCCCTCTACACCAACATTCCACACAAAGATGGACTACAGGCCATCAGGAACAGTAATGTCACAGCAAACCTGGTGGCTGAACTTCGTGACTTTGTCCTCACTCGTAACTATTTCACATTTGGGGACAATGTATACCTTCAAATCAGCGGCACTGCTATGGGTACTCGCATGGCCCCACAGTATGCCAATATTTTTATGGCTGACTTAGAAGAACGCTTCCTCAGCTCTCGTCCCCTAATGCCCCTACTCTACTTGTGCTACATTGATGACATCTTCATCATCTGGACCCATGGAAAAGAAGCCCTTGAGGAATTCCACCAGGATTTCAACAATTTCCATCCCACCATAAACCTCAGCCTAGACCAGTCCACACAAGAGATCCACTTCCTGGACACTACGGTGCTAATAAGTGATGGTCACATAAACACCACCCTGTACCGGAAACCTACTGACCACTATACTTACCTACATGCCTCCAGCTTTCATCCAGACCACACCACACGATCCATTGTCTACAACCAAGCTCTACAATACAACCGCATTTGCTCCAACCCCTCAGCCAGAGACAAACACCTACAAGATCTCTATCAAGCATTCTTACAACTACAATACCCACCTGCTGAAGTGAAGAAACAGATTGACAGAGCCAGAAGAGTACCCAGAAGTCACCTTCTACAGGACAGACACAACAAAGAAAGTAACAGAACGCCACTAGCCGTCACCTTCAGCCCCCAACTAAAACCTCTCCAACACATCATCAAGGATCTACAACCTATGCTAAAGGATGACACATCACTCTCACAGATCTTGGGAGACAGGCCAGTCCTTGCTTACAGACAGCCCCCCAACCTGAAGCAGATATTCACCAGCAACCACACACCACACAACAAAAACACTAACCCAGGAACCTATCCTTGCAACTAAGCCTGTTGCCAACTGTGTTCACATATCTACTCAGGGGACACCATCATAGAGCCTTATCATATCAGCCACGCTACCAGAGGCTCGTTCACTGTGTATCTACCAATGTGATATATGCCATCATGTGCCAGCAATGCCCCTCTGCCATGTACATTGGCCAAACTGGACAGTCTCTACGTAAAAGAATAAATGGACACAAATCAGATGTCAAGAATTATAACATTCAAAAACCAGTCAGAGAACACTTCAATCTCTCTGGTCACTCGATTACAGACCTAAAAGTGGCAATTCTTCAACAAAAAAACTTTGAAAACAGACTCCCAACGAGAGACTGCCGAATTGGAATTAATTTGCAAACTGGACAACATTACATTAGGCTTCAATAAAGACTGGAGTGGATGTGTCATTACACAAAGTAAAACTATTTCCCCATGTTTATTTTCCCCCCTACAGTTCCTCACAGTTCTT